GTGCCTGCAAACAGATAGTCCTCTGGTTAAATTTTTCATTCATGCTTGCATTCAAAAAACCAAACCCACACCAAGCGATGCAGCCAGGACAGTGAACAGTGACAGTTAGGAACATGCACTCCTGGCCCTTGAGGGCTGCTTCCCCTGACGTGTGTTACCACCCACAGCCCTCACCAGGACTGGCAGTGCGCCTCTGTGAGTTCATCTACTTACACAGGTAAGCAGACTGTTTTGTGTTTGTCTTTTGTGGGCCCATCATAGGCCCAATTAAATAGCACAAAGCAGTGGAAACCATTGCTGCTTTCCAAAAACTAGGACCTTAAAAAGGAAGGCCCTGGTCATGCATCCTTTATGATGACAAGTGTGATGTGTTGTTATGGGAAATGCAGAGATGTATGAGAAGAAAGTAAAAATCACCCCGTTCTCAGAACCGTCCCTGTAAACAGTTGCCTATCATTCTTCTCTTCTCTGTGTGTGTGTGTGAGTGTGTCTGTAACAGCAGGTGTCAGGCTGCAGTCCTGTGCGAGGTGCTTGCCATTAGTTATTAGAGCACCGGTGTTTCATGTCATCAATGTGGCTTGAATTACATTCAACTTAATATACTAATACACACTTTAGTAGTTATGAATGATACGATGTGCTTACATTTTAGTAATTATGAATAAGATTTTCGCTTACACCTGGCCTTATTTCTATAAGAAATTTAAGATATACTGGTGATTAATTCTTTTGCAAGCAACAAAAGTCTAACTTAACAGACAGAGTAGAAGTAGCTGACAGGGTCAATTCAGCATCTTCACAATGTCACAGAAGATGGCTATGGGGCTTTCACGGTTCTTCCCTTATGCTTACCAACTCATCCTTACAAGGCAGTTGCCCAGCTCCAGGCATCACATCTATATTCAATCTGGAAAAAGGACAGGGACTGCACAAGTAGCATCTCCCTTTTCAAAAATCTCGCACCTCACTGGGTGAGTTACCTTTTATAGTCACCTCCAGCCAGAAGGGAGATTAGGGGAGTAAGGATTTCGCTTCCCTTAGAGGCAGGCCAGGGAGAGGAGGATGCACGTCATTGTGGGTTGGCCAGACCACAGTATCAGCCACAGACAACCAGACACCATGATTGATTCAGCTGTCATTCTTTGGTGGCTATTTGTTTCCATCTATTGCTTCTCACTAGTAACATTTCAGCAAGCCACATGCAAGCTCAACCAGTCTCTGGTTGTCTCCTTAGTATGCCTGGAAACACACTTGAGGTCAGAGGGACTTGACTTTGCGTCTGTCACATTACTCACCCCTTCCTTGGGTGCACTACCAGACTGAGCACTTGAGAGCTCAGAAGCTCTTAAGTTATTCTGCCCTTAGGACTCAGTGAGCTGAGTCGCTGCAAAGCCCAGGCAGAACACCCAGGAGCAGTGCCATCATTCTTGTGGTGGCACCAGAGCACACACTTGAGTGTTCTGAGCACCAGGCACAGGTGGCTCTCTGGAAAAGGTGACCCAGGACAGAGCAGCAAAACGATGCTGCAGTCAGTGTCCCCACCCTCCTCCACATGATTTGCTGATAGAATAAGTAGTTGTTTGGCTGTCTGTGTACCTCAGTGGGTGCACACAACAGGCCTTTGAGGTGGTTGATCCAACACCATGGGACATGTTGCCTCTCTGGCCTGTGCTGTCCAGTCTGCCACGCAGGAGAGTCTCCTCCCTTGCTGTGTGCCATCAACCCTTCATGGGGAGCCCTGCCCACCAGACTCTTAGTTCATGTTGATACTTGCTAGCCAGCACTTGCACATCTGAGTAAGATGGGTGGCTGGAAAGATTGTTAAATACCCACACTGGCCTCTTCTCAGGAACCCCCAGAAGTGCACACCCCTGTTCTGTCTGCAGAACACAAAGGATGGTACACATGCCAGCTCCATCTTGAGGACCAGAAGTAATGGTCAGGTGGTCTCTGGAGAGCAGAGGCTGTGGTGTCCTGAGACAGCAAAGAAAGTAGATACCTGTGAGGCTTAGCTAGTGAGGATGTGAAAGACAGAGAGAACCTTCCAGAACAGAGAGAAGCCACAGTCACTAGTCTAGGGTGTGGCCTACAGAAGTGTATCCAGGGTACTAGTTTGGGCCTTCACTGGCCACCCTTGAGGGGAATGAGAAATGAGGCCAGGTCAGCAGGCCAGGCCCTGGACTGGGGCTGGGTTTCAGGCACAGCAGTGCAGTTTTGGGGGCTGTGGCCTGGTCCTGATGCATCTTGCTCACTGCCACCGTTCTGTCCTTCACAGTGCTGCCCAAGGCTGGACAGCACTGTGCTCAGGTCTGTGTGGTACAGGGTCTCCACGACCACAGGCAGGGGAGGGCCAAGGGCTTTCTATCACTGTGATGCCATACCTGACAGGGACTACTTATGAAGAAGAGGTTTCTGAGCTCAGTTTTGGAAGTTCAAGGTCATGGCATGGACATCAGTTCAGCCTCATTCATAGTGGAGGCTTTTATCACTAGACAGGAAGTCTGAAGGAGAGAGAAACACTGGAGTCACACAATTCCCTTTGAGGGCACGTCTCCCATGACCTAAGGACCTCTCAATAGACTCTACCCCTCAAAGGTCCCTTCACCTCCCCAAACCACCACCCTAATGACCATATCTCCAACACATGAGCCTTTGGGGGACTCCATAGCAAGGGGTCCTTTGTGATAGTTTGAGGGGAGCTGAGCCTTTTCTTCTGGGGACAGCTGTGGGGGCTGGTTAAGAGTCAGAATTGGTGGATCTGAGGAGAAGGGACCGAGTAGAACGGCTCCCTGAAACCCTTCATGGGTACAGTAAGTAATTTTCTGAAGTAAACCATTTACCTTCCAAGAATGTGAAATAATGCCAATACAGGCAAGGAGATGGCAGGATGCATGAAGAATGGTATTTCTCTAAAGATCTCTAGGAAACAAGCAAAATGTTGCAAAGAGAGAGTTCACTTTTCTGTTTCATTACATTGCTAGTGAGTAAAGTTTATTTGCCTTCAGACCTATTCATAAAGATTAATGTTCTTAAACCTTTCAAACTAAAAATGGAAGGAGTCACCTGTGGTTCCAGCTCACAGTCCAGCAGCTAGCCTGAACAGCAGCCATATGGGGGCATCTTCTAGTCTTGGTCCCCACCTTTCAAAGAGGGCCTGCATCTTCCCTCCCTCATCACTGTGTACAAGCTATGAAACCATCTCCCCATTGTGCACAGGCTCCTGCCTGGGGTCTTTGACCTAACATGTGCTGAGGGCTGAGCCTGCCACAGTGTTCTCCCCAGAGTGGGCCCCTCAGGAATAACGGGCCCTCCACATTCCAGCCCAGAAGACCAAGGCCATATGGTCTGTTTCTTTGGCTCCGCTCACTAGCACCCAGGCTGCTGTTGGGTGTGTGTTTTTCCAGTGCTCAGCACAGCACTGGGGACACGCAGGGGGCCTACTAGTGCTTTGAGTGACCGACTGCTGCAAGCCCCACTCTGCTGGACTGCAGCCGTGGTCCTGGCAGGATGATTATGGCCAGCTTGCCCTGGGTGCCTACTCAGGCACCCAGCAGCATCCTGGTCCCATTGAGGCTTTGCCCATGTCATCACCCCATCTCTCATTGCCTCAGTGTCCAATTTGGTCTTCTATAGGCAATGCATGTAATAGGTGAGGTGATTCTAGGTGGCAATTGATAGGGAATCACATGGTGAGAAAATCCCTTACCAATTCTGTTGTCTTCATGGTGGCCTTGGAGAAAGTCTGGTTCGACACTAGTGCGCTTGGCCCCCACCATCTGCAGACTCAATCAAGGACCAAAAATACTCAGAGAAAAATGTGTACTGAGCACATATAGAACTTTTTTTTTCATTATTCCCTAAAGAGTATAGTATAACAACTATTTCCGTAACATTGCACTGCATCGGGTATTACAAGTCACGCAGAGATGATCTAAAGTATACACAAGGATGTGTAGGTTCTGTGCAAGCACTGCCTCATCTTTTAGGAAGGGCCTGAGCATCCTTGGATTTTAGTAGCTGCAGTGGAGCGGGAAGCCAATCCCTTTTGGATAGTGAGGGACACTGTGTCTTTAACACCTGTCTATTGCTCCTCCCTGCCCTCTTTCACATAGTGAGAGCTTAACCTCGGGGTACTGGGCAAGTAATAGCTAATGGAATGTATCACCTTTGTTGTTATCAGTGGGTTCTTAAAGTTACCATCCATTTTTGGGACCAATGTCTATTTTTTATAGTAATAATTTAAAGGTAAATTTAAGCATTTAAGGTAAATTTAAGCATAAAAAGAAAGTTGACATGAAAAAAAGGAAGTAAATAATAGGAAAGGTAGTAGATGGACGGCAGAAGTTATGCAAGTGGCATGGGAAGGGTTTCAGTTTGGGAAAGGGGAACAGAAAGGTGAAGATGAGGAGCCATCCAGAGCGCCTGCAGAGTCCCCAGCTCCTGTCGGGAATGCAGACAGGCCAGGGGAAAGTCACTTTTCTAGCCGGTTCCTTCGTCCCTGGAACGAGAAGAGCAACAGTGGTTACTTCATTTGGGCCAGCAGTGACGGCTGCACAGGAGAGTCCCTGTGCTTAGGCATGTATTCAACCGTGCTTGGCAAGACAGCGGGGACACCTACAGTCCGTAATCAGTCAGCCCACGGTATCCATGGGGAACGGCTACAGGACCCTGCGTACCCAAATCCTCACTTTGTTGGCACAGAATGGTGTAGCATTTGCGTATAACCCATACACATCCTTCTGTATACTTTAAATCATGTACACATGAAAAAAGGCAGTAGTTATTCAGAACATACGCCATTTCTCCACCTCCAGTACTTTGGTTCTGAGGTTTGTTGAACTTGAGGATGAAGAGGGGCTATGAATGTTCTCTCTCTTCTCCTCCCCTCCTCTCTCCCCTTTCACACACAACACACCCACACCCACCCCGCACACCTGCCTCTGTTCTGTCTCTTGGGCATTAACACGCCACGTTCCCTTCCAGGTTAGGAGTCTGGAGCAATGGGCGACTGGAGCTTTCTGGGGCGACTACTCGAGAACGCACAGGAGCACTCCACGGTCATTGGCAAGGTCTGGCTGACGGTGCTGTTCATCTTCCGGATCCTGGTGCTGGGTGCAGCGGCCGAGGAGGTGTGGGGCGACGAGCAGTCGGACTTCACCTGCAACACCCAGCAGCCGGGCTGCGAGAACGTGTGCTACGACCGGGCTTTCCCCATCTCGCACCTGCGCTTCTGGGCACTGCAGATCATCTTCGTGTCGACGCCCACGCTCATCTACCTGGGCCACGTGCTGCACATCGTGCGCATGGAGGAGAAGAAGAAGGAGAGGGAGGAGGCGCTGCGGAAGACGTCTGGGTCGCTGCAGCGTCTGGGTCGCTGCAGCAGACGTCTGGGTCGCTGCAGCCTGCCCAGGACGCGCTGCCCATGCGCGATGAGGGCGGCCGGGTGCGCATGGCGGGCGCGCTGCTGCGCACCTACGTGTTCAACGTCATCTTCAAGACGCTCTTCGAGGTGGGCTTCATTGCTGGCCAGTACTTTCTGTACGGCTTCCAGCTGCAGCCGCTCTACCGCTGTGACCGGTGGCCCTGCCCCAACACAGTGGACTGCTTCATCTCCAGGCCCACCGAGAAGACCATCTTCATCATCTTCATGCTAGCCGTGGCCTGTGCGTCCCTCGTGCTCAACATGCTGGAGATCTACCACCTGGGCTGGAAGAAGCTCAAGCAGGGGGTGACCAACCACTTCAGCCCAGAGGCCTCCGAAGCCCAGCTGAGGGCGGGGGACCCGCTCGAAGCCCCACCTGGCCCATCCACCGTCACCGTGGGATTCCCGCCTTACTACACTGCCTCTCCCAGGGGACAGACAAGTGCCGCGGGCTATCCCAGAGCAGACTTCAAAATGTTACCCCCAAACGAGGCACAAGGCAGAGGCCACCCTGCCCAGTTCTGCAATGGCCACCACCTGCTAATGGCGGAGCAGAACTGGGCCAACCAAGCGGCCGAGCAGCAGACTCCTGCGCGGAAGGCCTCCATGGCCACCAGCCCGCCACTCCTGCAGGAGGCCGAGCCCGGAGGCAGCATGCCACTGCTCCTGGGGACAGTGGTGGCAGCAGCTTGGAGGAGAGCACCTTGGCGGTGACACCCGACACAGAGGAGCAGGCCGTGGCCACCGCCGTGGAGGTGCACGCGCCACCCTTGCCCCTTATAGACCAGGGAAGATCCAGCAAGGCCAGCAGTGGGCGGGCCAGACCTGGCGACTTAGCCATCTAGCTGTGGTCTCTCCAGACCCTGTTTTCTAGAAACCAAAACCAGATCAGCAGGTAGAGAGCGGGCCAGAAATCGAGAGCGTGCTGGAGTCTTCCCGGGAGAAGCTGGAGCAGAAAGCCTCAGGTGTCGGTGTGCAATGCTTGCTGTTCGTAGCACTGTGAGCTAGAGTGGGGATGACAGCAGGCTCCTGAGATTGGGAGTTAGGGCAGTGGGGGGCAGGGACTGTCGCCTTTAGATAGTCACAGCAGCCTGAGTGCTGCCTCTGAGTAACCGTTCTGTTGTGCAGCTCTCAGCTCGGTCACAGCTGGTGCCTCCCAGACACACTTAGCTCTATCTCTGCCTCATACTTTAACTGAGTTGAATTTCATTTGGGATATTTGCCAAACGGTACTAAAAAAAGACTTTGAGTGAGTCCATGTAGTGTCATTCGAGTTTCTGAAATTGCATGTGAAGGCCAGGGTATCAAGCTGCAGGCTGCATGACAAGTGACAATGAGCAGTTACCCTCCAGGGGTGGATTCAGTGGGACAGGGATGCAGAGGTTGCAGGCAGCAGGTAGGTGGACGTGCAGCCACGTGTGCGAGGAAGCTGACATAAAGTGTGGCAGGTATGCCTTAGGTATTTATTTTTAAAGATATTTTGTGCTTTGATCTGAATGGTACAGCTAGCTCCTCCCACTTTTTATCTTTCAGGAAAAACAGTGCTGTAAAAATGGACACTGACCCAGAGGATGCTAATTTGCCCTAATACACACTAGTAAAGATTTCAAACGTTCCTTTAAAACAAATTCTTCAACTTCAGAGTCAGCCAGTCACCATGAGAATGTATTATTATATAAAATAAAAGCGGGGGTGGGAATTTAAGTCCATTTCAAACACTTTAGGTTGTGAAGATTTTGAATGGGAGCTTAAAAGTTAACTACTGTTGCCAAGGAAAATATTTATACAGATGAATCAGTGATCTACACTTTTTTTTTTTTTTAAAGAAAACAGTACAAAATAAAACGCTTCAAGTTTCCTAACCATTCTTTGTGGGCAGCCTGTTTGCTTTCTAAAGTGTAAATAAAGATGTCTGGGTTTTACTGCCTGTGTAACAACGTGTGCTGACTGTGGGGGTGTCCGCCGCACACAGAGCTTCCAGGTGTCCTTGCTGTGTGGAGGCCCAGCTGGAAGATGGCAGGATTTTCTCTATGGGTCTTGGTCACTATTCGTTTATAAACCAAGGAATGGTGGTAATGTTGAGCCCGTCTCTACTTGTATTTCTCACCTCCGACTTCCACAGTGTATCGTTAGTCGTCATTCAGCAAACAATCATACACTTCCCAGTAAGTTCATTTCTCACAATTCATTTGGGGCCATACTACACAATTTTCTCTTTTGCATCACCTGTGCTTGAAAAATGCTAATTTTTCATACATGTCCTGGAAGCACAGTTAAACCCTTTGGGAGATGATCTGAGTGACTCCTCATTTCTTCTGGCCGCTCTAGCTGCCTACCTTCTAAGGGCTCACATGCAGTGGATGCCTCGGTTCTCCTGAGTGAGGGACTGAGAAAGTCCTAGCGTGAAAAGCATTGTGATGGAACCCTTTGGTCCTCTTAGAAGATGCAGTGGCAGTCATCAGAGCACACAGGCCCCATTCATGGCGTGGGTGTGAACACTTAGTCCATTAAGTTCCGCCATAGTAAACATGCATGGTAACAGTACACTTCAGCTTTACCCACAATTGATTTGGGGTAGGGTTAACCATGAGAATGGGAACCCTAACTGGATTCGTTTTTACATTTAAAATTGAATTTGGCTGCAATGTGTTCATGAAAATGTCAGTATTGTTTGGCCATAGTTGCCTCATTTTAGTCCATAGGTAGGAATGTAAAATTCACCTACCTAAAACTCACCAATATATAAAGAAGTGATACTTTTCAACAGAGTATTGCCTGTGGTATCTTTTTTTCAGGGTAGTGTACTTGATTTCAATTCATGTGAGAAATGAAAACTCGTCTTGGTCTCTAAAGAGGTGTCCAATTCAGAAGACCATGATCTGTGTGTGACCCTCCTGGGCAGTGTAGAATTGCTCTGTGCTCATCCAGTCATCCTAGCATTGAAATGTGCAATAAAAATAGAATTGCCTCTCCTGACAGGCAAGATTCCAGACATGTTTTTTTCCTAACCTGCTAATGATTTGGAAACTTTACTAACATTGTTTTTCTCTTGATTTATGGAAAAAATTTAATACCTAGACATCTTTTAAAGCTCAGATGCTGTATTTATTGTATCTGCACACACCATTGCTTCTTACAGCCCTGTGTTTAGAAGCACAGCTATCAGCTGCCCTGAGCACAACCCACGATAATTAGGAAGTGCTCACAGCACCAAAATCCACTTTTAAAAATGCTAAAATATTTCTTATATTATCACTTTCTCCTTTTTAACCTTTATTTTACTGAGTTACTGTCTTTTTTCCCCCATAAATGGGGGGAAAATGGGTTTTTTCCCATTAAAAAAAAAAGGGAAAAAACCAAGCTGGCATATTCTGATCTATCCTGCCTGTCTTTGACCTGGATAAATAAGTGGACAGATCCTAGAATTCTTATGTAAGAACACCTAGAGTAAGAACTATGGATGTAATTCAAACATTACTTCAGTCAAAGTTAGCCCAGTGGGTTTTAGGTATTTTTTTCAGTTTAGGCTTATAATTACTAACGCTTCCTTTAATTCTTTGATATTACTGAATAAAGTCCTTTTTTCTGAAATATTTTTCTTTTGTACTTTTTCTTCTGATATTTTCAGCATTAATTCATGGTCTTCACCACAGTAAATACTTGTAAAGCATTGCATGATTTACAGAGTGAACGTGTTCTGTAAAGATCAATGCATTCCTGCCAGGAGTTCAGGATATTCTAAATAGCCTTTAAATATAATGTACAGACACTTTACATTTAAAGTCAGAGGATGAGGGGCTTAAGGGTATGGTTCAGTGGAAGAGCACTTGCCTGACATGCACAGGACCCTGGGTTCCATTCCCATACAGAGAGAGAGAGAGAGAGAGAGGAAAAGTATTTCTCTTCTTGGTTCTACACTACCCTGTGAATCTTGAGTCTACTCCCTCTAAAATTTCTTTCTGCCTAAAGGACTTTGCACTATGGAATGACATAAGGTTTCCATGGTCAGGGGTTGAAATGACACTAAAATATGTGAATGGTTTCTAGAAAGTGCTGTATTTGAAGATGTTTGTTGTGGAAATGTTCACTTAGCTCCTTTGTTTACGAAACTCTTACTAAAATGATTTTTGAGCCATAACCCTGTCTTCCCCAGATTAAGTTATAACTGAAAATGAGCATTTTCTAAAACAATAAAAAGTAACCTTCACTTTAGATTGGTAGCTCTGTAGTTGGTTGTGTGGACAGGCTCTTTGGGCAGGTTTTCAACAATGTAATAAAAACACTTTCCCTTAGAAGTCCAGAAATTATTTCTAGAAAGCCAGACATGGTTGTGCATATCTATAATCCCTGCACTAGGGAGGCCGAGGCAGGAGGATGAAGAGTTCTAGGCCAGCCTAGGCTACAAAGGGAGATGCTGTCTCAAAACAACAACAATAATAATCAAAAAAGGAGAAAAAGAAGAAAAAGATCTTGCAGTTACTGTGCTATCATTTCTTAAGCTCTTCTCAACTTAAATACAGATCTTACAAGGGTTCTTCTAGTATCACTAGCATGCTTTTGTTTGTTTGTTTGTTTCTTTGTTTTTTTGAGAGAGGGTCTGGCTGTGTATCCCCAGCTGGCCTCTAATACACAATCTTCCTGCTTTAGCCTCCCAAGTTCTGGGATTATAGGTGTGTGCTACCTTCCCAGCTTGATTAACTGCCTCTTGCAGTGTGTTCTTCTAAAGCAATACTGTTGTGAGAGTTGTCTTCTTTCTGTCCTGTTAAGTCCCCCTTGGCCCCTGGGCCCCTCCTGCTTCTGCAGCCTCTGTCCTCTAGCAAGCCAGGAGTACATGGTACCTGGGAAGATGTTTCTGTATATAATTATTAATACTTGCACAGCTGTATCTTGGCTTTGGGGTCACTGGACAGTGCCTTGAATGTGTCTGATTTCCAGTCTTGATCGGAACCACAGATGCTGCTTTCACCGTCCCTGCTGTGTGAGGCCACAGGTGGGGTGATTCCCAGGGACACAGAACAACAACAGGATTGCTGCTGGGTGCTTGGAAAGCTCTCAGAAGCCTAGCATTGGAAACCAACCCCCCCCCAACACCAATTGATGGAATTTCCCATATTTCAGACCAGAGGTGCAGAAAGAAATATGTTGTGACAACAGTTTGGGAAAGGTAGACTCACCCTGTAGAGGAGAATGTTAAACAGTGAGTCCCAGGCCATGTTGGAAGACTGGTACACAGTGGTGGCCAGGGTGGCTTGCTCGATAACATCACTCCAGTGGTGTTGGGCACTGCATCTCACCTCCGTGAGACAAGACTGTGATGAGAAGGCATGGCACAGACCACAGCCATTGGCTCAGTGGTTCTGGACAATCTCCTGAGGAGATTGGAGGGAAGGAAGGAGGCCCACCTGTGGTGGTGGCTGTGAGATGCTGGCAGGTGTTGCAGGCACACACAAGGGGACAGAGGTACAAGAACCCTGCACCAGCAGCACCAGGCTGCTGTTAGGGAACCAAAGCCAGGTACAGTGTGGCAGAAGGACAGGGGAGGGGATCCAGAGCGACCTGCCACTGGCCCACTGAGACTCAGGGTAGCAGCACTTGTGCACACGTGTAGGTGTGAATGCTGTTCTGTCATCCGTGTGTCCTTTCCACTCAAGACACCCTCTTCCCTGGAGACCCTAAGAACCCCGTGTGGTAGACGGTTCCCCTCTGGCATCCAGGCTGCCTCCCTCCTTCCAGTCATGATTTCTGCGAAGCTATTTCACCTTATTGACTTTTTTTTTCATCTGGGTTTCAGATGAGTTTTCTCATTTGAAGAATGGAAATAAAATGACCAGGAGTTAAATGAGAA